TTATAATTCCCATTTTTTAACACAGAGATACTTGGAGCCTTAGCAAGCACGTGGAATACATTTGGAATCTTACAAAAAACAATTTGAATTTAAAAAAAAAATCAAGAGCATTCAAGTCACTTCCATATACCTGAATATAATGAGATGCATAAAATTACCCAAATCAAAGTGTAATGAACTGGGGCCCACAACATGTGGAGTTATCATCAAATTAAATATGTTCTATTACACGTTTCAGTTCTATTAAGTAACTTCATCTCTATTTCATTCCTCTAGCTTACATAAGTGAAAGTCATAAAAGGAAAAAAGATAACTGGCAAGGGGAAATTTCTACTTGTGTCTGATTCTAAACCCTGTGACCACAGAAACCAGAAACGCAGTATACAAATTCCTGCTACCTTATTTACGCTTCTCTACAGCTATTTACAAACAGTAAGACAATGCAATAAGCATGTCTGACATTTGAAAAGACAATACAAGCAATAATTTTAAGGATCTTTTATGTTCTACAGGTAACTGCTGCAGTCAAAGCTTTCTGATTTATCTATCACATGGAAAAACAGAATACATCATATAAAGTATAATTATTTTAAAACAGTGTAGTACAGCATAAGTAGCACAAAAGGTCTATTTGTCACTCTTCCTAAGAGACTATGGCAGAAGTTTCATCAGTTATGTTTGATACCGCCTCCTTCTGCAGTTGCAGTTGTAGGCTAAAATGCAGGAGGTCTGCATTTATGAATATGCTAAGCAGAATAGCACTTAATAAAATATGGGAGTTTTTAGTGTTTTTAGTTAGGTGATAGGTACCTTCCATGCAATTTAGTTAAATACACAGATCTTGCCTTTGATTTACTTGACCTCTGAGTCCTACACATATGTAAATCTTTGCATACAAAAATGTTCTTAAATACAAGAGTGGAAAAAAATCCTTTTGTCAGCTTCTCTGGCATTGCAAGGTCACTAAACCAATATAGGCACTAAACCAGTGGCATCAAAATCCTTCAGGAGAATATTGGTTCTCAGAGAAACACCTGCAGTTGTTCCAGGCTACCTTCATGCAGGTGCCATCCCCAGACAGGTACATGTCACAGTCCCCATTTGCCTGATGTCCCTTTTCCCCTTTCAGAAGGCTCGGTTTCCCTTCTACATGAATTCCAACCTTGTATAGAGAAAATACTTCACATATAAAAAGACCCAGGAATGGCTGCGTAGGGCTAGATAACCACAATGTTTATTTGGTGCAATATTGATGTTTACTACAGTTGATTTCTGTCTTTATTACACTTTCCACCATCGCTACTAATGCTGACTCTTCATGGGAATTAACTAGTCTATAAAAGTAAATGTCATATACGCAAGACCTAACGAGGCAGTTGCATTAATAGGCACAATAATGTAAGTGCTAGTATAGATAAGTTCCCTGTAAAGATCTTAATAGGTGTTAGTGACTCAAAATTAACACCACAGGTTTCCTGTTTAAACACTATTATAGTAAAGGCATTGTCTGCACTCAAAATAAAATTTCATGGGCAAAAACCCAGCTAGTATAAACTGACTTCTTAAAGCTGGTGTAGGCAACAGTGAATAAAATATTAGCAGCTGCCACTGGCCTCCCTACACCACTGTTCTGACAGCTGCTATCACTGGGAATAATGTAATGGTATGAACTTTCATGGAAAATGTTACCCTAGACAAAAAAAACCCTTATGCAATGCTGTAACAAAGGATGTTTCCTCACACAGATGTGGCTGCCCTGTCTTAGGTCCAGCAGCACAGATGTAGTAGCAGACTCATTCTTAGTGGCTTCCTAACCTGCAAATCAGTACATTATAGGCAAGAGGCTCAGGGGGGTTTTCCCCCTCGCTTAATTAGCAATACCCTATGTTGAACCTCTTGCCTTGTGCTTTTACCAGCATTCATTAGTGCTGTGCCAGCCATCCAATGCCCTGTGTATTTTGACAGTGACTTCTCTTACTGATTAAGCATAGGTATTACTTTTCCTCTTCAACTGAAAAGGCCTGTAGCTGAAACACAGGATGTTTTGCCTCCAAAATCTGAATACAACTAACTGTATCAGGGCTTTAAAGACTGGTATATCTAGGGAAGATAGGTGGAGGGACAGAGAAGTAGAAATGTAGATTATAAATGAAGATATGATATGAGTTTCCACAAAGCACTAATGTGAAACCTGAATCACATTCTTTCCTTTCACTGAAATACTTTGTGCAATAGCAAATCAATTTTGTTTACCTTCTTAAAAGTGTCCTCATGGCTTCCATGCCCCATAACACCCCTGGGTTTTACATTCCATCCTAACTGCTCCAGCACTTGCACCAGACATCAGATGTTGCAGGACAGGTATCTGATCATCTTAAGTTTTTAAAACCACTGCATATCTCTTTGGCTCTTTATAAACTAAATATAATAATGGTTTGTCCTGCACACTCATCTAAGAATCTAACACAGTAATTCTCAGCCAGGGCACTGCTATGCCCTCAGGCACCTTGAGATCCTTTCAAGGGTGACATGGAGTGACATTAGGTGCTGTTATTTTTCTGTAATAAAATTAAAGAGTAAAAACTTAAGAGCTGGCACTTTCTGAAGGGAGCCTTAAGTCTAAAACCTCTGATCTAACAGAAAAGGACTATCCATTGATATTTTAATGGTATCTGGATTGGTGACGGATAGAAAACAACCATTTCTGCTTCATTAAAAAACAAAAAAAAACCCAACTCCTTCTCCTGACACCCCCTCTTCCCTCCCCTCCAAAAAGTTCTGATATGGAAAAAAACCCCAAGGCCTTTAGATTTGTCCCCATTCCCTCCCCTCCACCCAAGAAAATGGGTGGGAAGAAAAGAGAAAATTAACTAAACCAGTCAACAGCCTGGCAATTTAATCACTTCTCAAGCATGTAAGAGACTCAAGTTCAATTCCTGTTCTGCTCAAATCTTTCTCTATCTCAGTTTGATATTAAATAAAATGCTCGTCATCCACAGATAAAGCAGGACCTGAACCTAGGTCTCTTACATCCAAGGTGACTGCCTTAAACACTGTGTTATTTAAGGGTCTCACTCAACTAGAGATAGCTAATGTAATAGTATTTCTAACAACAACAAAGACACTAGAGAAAAAGTTCCCACAAACCTCTATAAGCCATCATCACAACATTGCTTCTACCTTTTAACTGGAATCTACCCTGGCCTGGCCTGGATTCTGCCCAGTTCCCTTAGGGGAAACAAAATCTGGCTTCCCATTAGATGTATCCTTCCTGATCTTGGTGCCAAACCAATGCTAGGAGATTGGCTGCTGGTGAGTTATAGGATGCTGTAGCCATGGTAATGAGAAATTGCATCATGGTGCCCCGTGGCTGTAATCAAAGCAGTCTTGGGCATGAAAGTGTGCACCCCCCTACACACACATTCTCCCTTGCACACATCGCTTGCATACACCCAGCTGCTCACACACTCAGTTGCTTGCATGCTGTCTCTTGCACACTCAGCTTCTTGCAGTTGCTTGCACACTCAGTTGTTTGCCAACTATCAGTCACACCGTCACTTGCACGCACTCAGTCCCTCACTAGTCACTCAGTTACTTGCACTCACAGTGTCCCTCACTAGTCACTTGCACACTAGTTGCTTGCATGCTCAGTCACTCATGCACTTAGTTGCTGACACACTGTCAGTCACTCGCACACTATCAGTCACACACACTCAGTTGCTCAGGCTGTCCATATTGACTCCCTTTTGCCTCTCTTCCACTTCAACTCCCAGGCCCGCCGGCCGTCTGGCGCGTGCCACCCCGAGGCCAGGCCCCCGCCCCATCTCAAGGCGCCACGAGCAGGCGGGGTCCCAGCGGGGCGGGGTCGAGGTGCGGATCCGGCCCGGCCCGGC